GAGTTTGCATTTTGTTTAACTTTCCTCTCATATGAGCACAATGGCAAAATTTGTAACCAGGACTGGCCAACAAAATAAGTAGTCTGGTAGTTTGTGTGAACTGGGTAACCATGGATGAGCCAAAATTGACAGCCTGATGTTGTTCATCCTGTACATTTCTAGCCATCAGCAATATTGTTACCTCTCTGAGCTACAGTAACCAGGAAGTGTTTTTCTGGTGTGTCTTTGTTCTGTGTCTTCTAGTCTCGGAGCCCTCATGGGTCTCTCAATAGCAGCTGTGGTTCTTCTCGCCTTCATCATCACTCTGTGTGTCCTCTGCTATCTGTTCATCACCACCAAACCCAGAGGTCTGGACAATGGACTGCCGCTGCGAGCACCAGGTACAGAGTTAAACTTTCTGCTAACATATCAATAAAATACACAGAGTTAAGTAGAACTGGGCCTCTGACAAAGTCAGAGCCAAAGGTTCTGAAATACGTCAATTGGTATCTTCTCTATTTATTATTAAAATAATGCTAATTTCTTGCCTTGCCTTGGTTTATGGCCAGTCTTTTAGTTTTATTATAGACATTATTAATGTACTTGATGAGCAAGAAAAAATCCCAAAAGACTTCTGATGAATATATTCATAAGCACAAAAGTTATTACTACACAACCAATGAGAGATGCTTTGCTTTGGATCGTTTCTTGATCTGGAAACAAAACATTTTGCTTTTTTTCTTAATTACTGAAGCATTAAACTGTAGAATGCATCAGCCACAGAGTGTGGGTGGATGTTACAGTTGAATTTTCAAAAGTTTTATCTCAAATTTGTGACCTTTACAGTGTGCTACTCCAAAGAAGTATTTTGAATGAAAAACCAAGAACACGCCATTTAGGAATGCTAAAAGAACCTGATATGATTTCCTTTCAAAAAAAACTGGAAAACCTTCTTTGACAAGACAGCCGAACTTTGTTGCTGAGTGGAGAGGCAGCCTTGTACTAGATAAAAAATGTTTGCAGAAAATTACATTTGGTGGAGCTGTGTTTGAAATGTTTTAGAGCAG